GACGCAGCTTGTCCAGATCCCTCTGCAGAGCCTTCCTGTCCTCCAGCAGATCAACACTCCCACCCAACTTGGGGGCATTTGCAAATTGACTGAAGGTACCCTCAATCCCGTCATCAATAAACATGTTAAACAGAACCAGCCCCAATACTGATCTCTGGGGAGCAGCACTTGACTGGTTGCCAACTGGATGTTAACTCTATTCACCACCACTCTCTGGGCACAGCCATCCAGCCAGTTTTTTACCCAGCAAATAGTACACTTGTCCAAGGCATGAACAGCCAATTTCTCCAGAATGCTGTGGGAAATGGTGTAAAAAGCTTTACTAAATCCACAGCCTTTCCCTCATCCCTTAAGCAACTTTGCCATAGAAGGAGAGCAGGTTAGTCAAGCAGGACCTGCCTTTCATAAACCCATGCTGGCTGGGCCTGATCCTGTGGTTGTCCTGCATGTGGCAAATGATGGCACTCAAGGTAATCTGTTCCATGACATTCCCTGAGGTCAGGCTCACAGACCTGTAGTTCCCTGGTTCCTTCTTCCAACCCTTCTTTTAGATGGGCATCACATTTGCTGACTACCAGTGAACTGGGGCCTCCCTGCTTAGCCAGAACTGCTAGTAAATGATGGAAAGTGGCTCAGTGAGCACTTCCACTAGCTCCCTCAGTACCCTTGGGTAGATCTCATCCAGCCCTATGGACTTGTGTGTGTCTCGGTGGTGTAGCTGGTCACTGACCAATTCCTCTTGGCTTATGGGGGTTTCATTCTGCTCCCATCCCTGTCTTCCAGCTCAGGGTAGCTCCCTCCCTTGGGTAGATCTCATCCAGCCCTATGGACTTGTGTGTGTCTCGGTGGTGTAGCTGGTCACTGACCAATTCCTCTTGGCTTATGGGGGTTTCATTCTGCTCCCATCCCTGTCTTCCAGATCTCATCCAGCCCTATGGACTTGTGTGTGTCTCGGTGGTGTAGCTGGTCACTGACCAATTCCTCTTGGCTTATGGGGGTTTCATTCTGCTCCCATCCCTGTCTTCCAGCTCAGGGGTCAGAGTACTTAGAGAACAACTGGTCTTACTAATAAAGAATGAGGCAAAAAAGGTATAAAGTAACTCAGCCTTTGCCTTATCTTTTGTCACTGTGTTTTCCTCCACACCCAATAAAGGATGGAGATTATCCTTAACCCTCCTTTTGCTGATGATATATTTATAGAAACTAATTTTGTTGTCTTTTATGTCAGTAGCCAGATTAAGTTCTAGTTGGGCTTTGGCCCTTCTAATTTTCTCCATGCATAACATCCTTGTAGACCTCCTGAGTGGTCTGCCTCTGCTTCCAAAAGTTACAAACTCTTTTTCCTTAGGAAAATGTAAGTAACCAAAGTCCATATTCCTTCATCAAGAATTCTGTTTCCAGAAGTACCGATTTCATTTGGCACTATATTGTGTTTAATGTTCCAGAAATGATTTGGAAAGGAGTGTCTCATCTGCATCATTAATGTAACCTCCTGCAACTTCTGACTTAGTTGAGTTTTATGTCTCTGCTGGAAGAACATTTATGTCTGAACATTAGATCTGTGTATTGATAATCTGTAGATTTCATGTTATCCCATATATATATATATATATGTGCATGTATGTAGATACATGAAAGATTTCTCTAGGTTGTAAAATATTTGGTTGTTTATTTTTAGATGCTTAGAATCTGTGGATCAGGCAGGCAGTCAGAATATGGAAAGCACAGCTTCACTGGAATTTGACGACACTTTTAGCAATGTTACAGGTAAGAGCAATTGAATGCTGACATAGTCTTTCTTCTAACAGATATATATGGTCAAGAGAAGGATGAAGTTGCTGCTTCTGTAAGTGTGTAATCTTACTTTTGCATGTGAAGCCTTAGAGAGTTCTTTCAGATTGTTGGACTGGAAATTTACATTACCCTTTCTGTCTCGCAGCACGAGCCCTTCATATTACATGGAAAGATACTTTCCTAGGAGGTAGTGAATAAATTCTTAAACACAGATGGTGTTTCTTAATCATACTATATTAAATCACAAAGCAGAGTTATGTAACTGCCTCCCTCTGAAGGGGGATTCTGCAGGGACAGGCACTGGAAACAGCTGGCTGTTGAAGAGCTGTTCTTAAGCCATTGAATGGAAAGTTGTGTCAGTGGCAGAGCTGTAAGGTGCACCACCATGGAAACGTGTTATCTTATAGACAGTTCTACAGATCCCATATTCTTCTCTGAATCTTAGCCCAGGATAAGAATAACTAAAAAGAAATTGAACTCTAAAACTGGTTGGACGTGGTCTATGTCTTTGCTTCTAGCTTTTAAAATGATGTTACGTAGGTATTATTAACTTACTACGACAGGATATTTCTAAAAGCGTGCAAACTCCAAGAATAAATAAATACTTCGTGTCCAGTCCATAGCTGCAAATTTAGAAAGAGTTTTGCATGTATTTACTGCACTCTGTGTGTGTAGTAGAGATTGTTCAGAGGAGAGACCAGGCAGTCCATTTTGGTGTTTGAATAATGTATTTATGTCCTTGTCCAGAAGGATTACAGGGGATGAATACAGGTTACGTCAGCAGCATCATTTACAGTATACTTTTGAAAAGTGTTCATTTTGATGAGCATTCCTATTTAATGTATATCCTAACTTCTCCTCAGATATAACTCTTTGATTTGTAGTGTTTGTCTCCTGGTTACTTTGCTTTTTTTCTTCTACACTCTTGTTTTCCATTTTCCTCTGTTCAGCTTTTGGTTTTGCATATGTATCTATCTGCCTTTTTGCCTACATGTTTTTGTGTGTCCCCATGATAAAGAAGAAAAGGAAGGAAAATAATTAGGAAATTGTTCTTGATTTTAGATCTTGAATCACACTTACAGAGATGTCAGCAGTTGCCTGTTACAGGTAGGTAACATTTTGACCTCAGGTTGAATTTTAATTTTGCTAAGAACAAAAATAGTTTTGAGATATCACCTCAAAGGCTGAAATAATCTTTCACTTATTATAGGAAGAACTATTCTAAGAGTATAAGTTTGTGTGTTACATTAGTTTTATTCAGTTTTTAAAGGAATAAAGCATATTTGTATATTCTACTTCCATTTGTTTTTTCTACATGTTGAATTTCTGTACCCTGAAGTGCACCATGCTGCACAGCCTGTTGTGATTTGTCTTAAAGACTCCAGTAACATGTTGCATTGATAAAACTGGGAAAGAAAAGTTGGGAATCAAGGGAAAATCATAGCTGCAGTTGCCATTTCCTGTATTGCAAATATTATGGTGTTTAATAGGTTTGCATGGTGCTTTTTGTATGTGTTTCAGTATTAACAGATCATCAGGATTTGAGTAACACAGAACTGAAAACCATTGTGAGCAGCACAGCTCCTCAGCAGTATCGCATCAGAGCAAAGCTGAGAACTTACAAGCCCCAGAAGCTTCATCAGTCTGTTAAACTTCATTGCTCCAAATGCAACTCTTTGTAAGTGTTTCATGCACTATAAGCAATTAGGAATTGTTTTATATGTTTTGGGATGTTTGAATTTTCAGTTTGTTTTCATTTTTTGTGTGTAAAGTGAGTTGAATGTAAATGTATGTCATTTTGAGCAGATTTAAACTTACTGGTAATGGGAAAATTTTAAATCATCAGATGAGTTCCATTTACAGAATTGTTTGAATGCTTTCAAAAAAACCCACTTTTCTTTATTTTCAAATGCAGCAGTGCAGTTTATTCTATACCAAAGTTATATTTAAGTAGCTGTTTCTTTATTGCAGTTTTAAAATAGGGTGTGCAAAGAGGTATGACTAAAATACACTTTGGCTACAGTGGATACTTCCAGGCATCTTCAGGCATCTTTTCTGGATCCAAAAATACCAGGGAAATCATAAAATCATAGAATGGCTTGGATTGGAAGGGACCTTAAAGATCATCTTGTTCCAGCCCCACTGCCTTGGGCACGGACACCTTTCACTGTACCAGGTTGCTCAAAGTTCCTTCCTGCCTGGCCTTGAACACTTTCAGGAATGGGGCATTCACACCATTCATTGTGTTATTTTTATCTTTTCTCTGAGTTGTGTGAGCTCAGTGACCATTTTATCATTGCTATTTGCCCTCTAATGCTGTTTGTCACTATATCAAATAATGCTCAGTCAAATAATCATATGCCATTTCTGCTGTATATTCCTTTAAAAATGAAGGAAAGTTTATTTGAAAAGGCCTATTTTTGATGAAACTGCTGAGTGTCATGCACTGAAGTAATATTGGTGGTCATCTGAATCCTGTATCACGTTTTTTTGTCTGACCTACCATCAGACCTAAGCAAACAGCATTATTGTTGCTGATGTTAACTATTGCTTTCTTTAAATGATGCCACATTAGCATTCTCCTAGACTTCTGTAATTTTTTGCACAATCAAGTTTTATCAGATACAAACATGACTGAGACAAGAAAACAGCCCTGCTATGCTTCTCTTACAGCTTTTGGATGCAAAGTATCACACTAGCAGTGATAGTAACAATATTGGTCCTCATCAGATGTTCTTACAACATTCACTTGCTTGCTAATATAAGAGGAAGTACTGGATTTTCACAACATACAAGTACATGGTCTTTATTGCCAAGTATAAAAAGGAGATAATTACCAACTCCCTCTGCCACTGTTGTCACTTGTTTATGTATTTGCAACTCTGTGTAGTAATAAGCAGATACAATTGTAATGAAATTTTGTTTGTTCTTTACGAACTTTATCCTTCTCCCAAAATTTTCCATAAATATTTCAGTCCTTTTATATATTCTTGACTTATTAATATCTTCCTTTCTGTTCATTTTGGTCTTCTCCCATTTCAAGTATTGTTGTCTTCACTTTGCCACAGAATCATGGCAGACTTTTAACTAGAGAGATTTCTGAGGATTTAGTTAGCATATTTACTACTACCACCATCCTGCTGCAGTGATGGGATATTTACAGTCCTTTCCCAGGAATTTATTTCTTTTTTCTCATCTATGGGCGTCAGGTGAAAGGAATCAGCCCGGATTGAGTTAAGAGGCCCAGGAGGGAAACATGAACCTTCTCTGTTACACATTCTTCAGCACTGCATGTGCTGAAGAGCCTGACTGAACAAAGTTCGATCCAAGTTTGATCCTTTAACAATTTATCCAGTAAGATAAACACTTGGCTATAACATCTTTGTGAGAGATGTATTTTTATTTTTTTGTGCCTCAACTGGAAGCTTCTCTGTAAATAGCCGAATATCAGTATGTATGCATGTAATTTTATTTATCTACATTACAGAAGTTTCAATCCTTGTGTGTAGCTTAGTTCAAAATCAGCTCATTCCATTCCTGCCTCATGAAATGGAATGTGGGAAATCTACAGGCGGGCTGTAGAGGTTGGAAGAGTTTAATAGGTATGTCTGGAAAGATGATCTATTATGTTAGGTCCATTGCCTTTACATTTGAAGTAGTAGTCCAGGAACACAGGCAGACAGAGTTCATGTGAACAGCACTGTGTTCAGGTTTGGGAAGACCTGTTGTGTGCTAGTTCTACAGACGTTGCAGACGAATAATAAAGTTTGGATTCATAGGCAGGAATTGTTCTCTTCAGTGGTGGAAGCAGATGCTCTTGGGTTTGAAATCATCAGAATAATCTGCATGAGTTGATGGTATTTTTCCTTTAGCTCCACTCTAAAGCTTGACACCTGCTTTCTTTCAATGTTTTATGAAACAGCCCAAGCTTTTGCCTTTTTTTTCATTGTCCTTTTTGTCACAGTTAATATTCAGCCTGAAGCCAGCAGGTCTGTCTTGCACCTTTAATCTGTGTGCCACCCAGTGGCTTTTTGCCTGTTTTTGGCAATATTGATAAAATCTGAATGGCCTGCATTATTACTTCTCCATGGATGACAAGGGGAAATGCACACATGGTGCACTCTAGCAGGAAAGGAAAGAAACTGTGTGGTGCAGAGTTGCAGATTTTCCACTTGCAGTACTTACACGAAGCTATTCTTCTTCTGTCCTTTTTTCACTTTTTTCCTCCTCAATATATGCAAAGTCAAATATACTAAAACATAAAACTTGAAATTACATAAGGATATAGTGTCTTTAGACTCTAATGAAGTGATGTGCAGTTATGTGAAATCACAGAAAGCTGATATATTTGGTTTTCCATGGATTTATGTGTGGGTGAAGCCACTAGGCTGCCTCTGCTCCTAGGTAAATTTAGATTACTTAGCATATTTATTAACATGAAAAGTCATAATATACTATGCAAGTCTAAATGTTAAACTGCTATAGCAATGAGGATATTTTTCCTCTATGTACTTTCACTCTCATGACTGTATTCTAATATTTATTTGGTGTACTGTTGTCCTTGTTGCTAGATTGCCTAAGGAGAAGCTGTTAGAATTTACTTATTCATTTTGGAAATGCTTTCAGGCAAGAAGTTCCAGATGCAGATGGCTTTGACTTGATTTTACAAGGCTCTGCCATTACTGCCCCAAACCCAGAACTGCACAATACATCCTGGTATGATTCTGTAATGTGGACTACACAAGACCAGAAACAAAGGAAAATAGCTATCCATTTTGTAAAGCATGATGAAATGCTTCAACAGCCTGAAGATACCTTGCTTATGATAGAAGGTAAGATAAATTGCAAATACACCACTTCCTATGGCACCGTGTCCATTCTGAGTGTGTACAAAGGTATGTGGAAGTTGTATTCAGTGTCAGTTGTAATGCTCATAAAGGTATCTTCAAAGAAAAGAAGAGCTCATCTGGAACTGTAAGTTACTGTTGTGCAAACAGGAAAAGGTAATCCGTGAAGGTCTTGTAAGATGCTTCTGTCTATTTTAAAACTATACCAGTGAGTTTATTGTTGTTTCAGCTAAAATTAACATGTGAATATGGGTTTTTTCCAGCTCTGCTTACTGGTTTTCAGTTCTAATTTGAAAATTCTCTGAGTCTTCTAAACAAACCTGGTTTTAGTATTGAAGTGGAAACGCTGGGAAGGATTCTGGCAACACAAGCCTACAATTAACTTTGTCAGCCTCTGGATGTCAGTGTTGTTTCAGATTAATAGAACTCAAAGTGTGAGTTTTTTTGGTTTGGTAATGTTTTCAGATTTCCTCAGGAAAGAGAAATAGCCACTGACCTTTAAACAAAGCAATTTAGCAAGAATACTTTTAAGGAATATTTTAATATAATAAAAAAATAATTGCATATAGTACCATTCAGAGTTGAAAGCAAAGTTTTCAATTGTGCTCAAGTAGTGGTGTGAATAGGCAAATGTAAGGTAGGTGGTCCTTTGTGTAAGGGTTAATGACTAAGACCCTTCTGTTTTCTGCTTTGTTTTATATTCAACTAGTTCTGATAGTCGCTTTATTTCTCACATGTTCCAAACTGACATTTTTCCTTTTATTTTTTTCTGCAATCTACCCTTTATGAAAACAAACAAAAAAAATCTACCCCATTTTCCTAAAATAACTTGGTAAATCTTTTTTCAGATGTTAGAAGTGCCAACAACTAAATATGTGTGTATGTGAATACATGTGTATAAGAAGTCCATTTGGTTGTTTTGGGTTTTTTCCAAGAAAATTGCTAGTAAAATTATAGGAGAAATTATTTGAAAATGATGCTAACTAAATACAGCTTCTTGGTTACAGTGATAGTGGTGAGGAAGATATGAAGGAATCTGCTTTGATAAATGTCATTCTTTGCTTCTTTATCGAGTCTGTTGTCAAGTGGAGAGTGAGAAGGTGTTGGGCTGTTTTGTGAGTTTTCAATAGTGGGTCTCAATTATTATTGAAGGTCCTGAAATCAGTGTCTAATCAGCCAAGAAATGCAAGTTGTTCAGTTTATTCCTGATTACAATTTAAGAAACCATGCTTTTCTGTTTCTAATAGGTGGAACACTGAAAGAAATCTGGAAGCTTACAAAAAGGTTTAATTGTGTTATTCCTGTGAGATCCACAGAAGATGATCTTGAATTATTAGATCTTTCAGCTCCTTTTCTTTTACAAGGGAACGTAAAATATTATGGGTAGGTTAAAAGTATTTGTTGATGTTTCAGTAGTTGCAGTAATAGATACTATTTCCTTCTGTAATTCAAACCGCAGTGCTCAAGGGATAACTTACCTAAAGACACAAAATGCATAACTTGATCTGCAGTACTGACATTGGGGATGAAATGCCATACTGCTACCTCGTGTCAGAGGACTTGACTGCAGTTGGGCTCTTGCTGTATAAATCTCATGCCCTTAATTACACAGCCCCTCAGGTTCAGTCTTGCCTGTGGTGTGTGGGTAGGGCAGTGTGCTACAGAGATAGAAATGCACGTGAGAGTCTCTTTAGGCTGCAAAGGGCCTAAATCTACCGCTTGATCTTGTGTTTTCTGGTCTTACTCATTAGACTGAAGTTAAAACATATGTTGCTTTAAAACTGTATGCTGGGGGGAAGTTATATATTAATAATATAACTAATATTTAAGTAGTGACCCAGAAAAGAATTTCAGATTGTTAATCCACATCTCATACTTAGTGTTGGCAAAGCTTGGGTTTTGGCAGAAGTAGGGGATTTTGGACAGCCTTTCATTACCATTTGTCCTTTATTGAGGTCCCCAACACTGCAAAGTGCCTTACCTATTTGGGCATGTCTTTCACTGTAGAGATAATTTCAACAGGTTTCTGAATTCCACAGATCCAAGGCTGTGGAATATAGTAACATACATCTAGGTCTGGTGTCTGTCATCTGCCATGCAGTGAATACCATGTTCCTGCTCAACGCCAGTTAGCAGCAATATGTTCTCCCAGTACTGCCCAGCAGCATGCAGTTACTGAGCTCAGAAATACCAGTCTACTTCATGCAAACTGTTGAGCTCTCCCTCTCAGCAGTCCTAGTAAGTTCAAACAGTGCCATGCAGTGATGCACTGTGTCAGGTCTGTAGGCAGTAAAAAAAAATGCTGTGCAGAAATATTGCATGTTTCACTTAAGCCCTAAAGTTTCCCATAAGGACCATTCATAAAATGAATACAGGTCAAATTATTTCTTTGTCACATTGTTTTGACCTTTCCAGGTACATCTGTCTACTGCTTTCTGAAATAAAAGCAATATGTGGTTACTCCTACTGGGACAGGATCTTCACCAATACAAAGTATTTCCCCTTGCACTATCATAATCCATCTATTTCCCCAGCTACACACAACTCACCTTCAGATGGCTTCAAGTGGCTGGATTGTAAAAGCAAATGCTTCATAAGAGGTTCCATTATTGTTTATAGGTTATTTAGGAAGGAACCTCACAAGGATGCTGACATTTTACAGCTATGTTTCATGTGCTTTTTTTATCAGTGGCATATACTTAGCAAAGTCTAAAAAGGATTGTGTAGTAGAATGAATTTATATGTGTGTTCATATGTATGTATATTCATATATATGTATATAAACACAGATGCATATAAAAAGCAAAATTCACAGTTAAGTTACTTTATTGAAGTTTGGGTGGTTTTTTTAAAAGGAAAAAAGTGACTTAGCTGAAGCTTGACTTTATATCACTTAAGCAAAAGTAGTTCTATTGATTTTTATTGCATGTTTTTCTTATAATTCTAAAAGATAGTAAATGTTTATTTCAAGTTCTAACTGTAGTATACTAGCACAGAAATTTAATTTGGAAAAAAAAAGTTGTGCAGTAATTTTATTCCTTGAGGCAAATGGGAACAACTTTGACAACAGTTCTTCAATATTTTGGTCCACTTTCAGCATTTTCTTACTATGTAATCTGTAAAAATGTATAATTATTGGTGTAAATTCATCAGTAATAAAAGAGGTTGTTCTAATAACTCATAGTTAATATTTTTAACATAGACAAAACCAAATTTCTCTCCTAACCCTGTTACGGTTTTGGAGTGTGCTACAAGTTCAGATTCATTC